AAAGCGTAAACCCCATAGATCTTTAATTTTTAACATTGTATAAAAATTATATAATTACAGTAAATATTTATAAACATGTAAAATTGCATAAAAATTAAAAACTAGTCTATATATATATATATNTAATGCACCTGTAACTTGGTCAAAAAGAATAAAGTTTTCTACATGGGGGAACAAAAAGGATGACTAGCCTGCAATTTGAACTTTGAACTTGCTGCTATGAAGGAGAATGGAGTTCTCTTTGTAAAAAAAAAATTAATACTCGTTGCTTCTGGGAGATATTATCAAACTAGCGAACAAGATAAAAAGTTAAAAAAGACCATGAATTAGGACTTCCATTAATAAAAAGGGTCTTGACTTTTAAATTTAATACATTTTAGTTCTTTTTTAAAACTTTTGAGTAATTACAAGCCAACTTTTGAGAATTTGGGTATTATATGAAGGATTTATTCAACAAATTTTATTTTAATTTGAAAAAGTCTTTAGGGCTTATGCCTCACTATAAAACTGTGCCCTGAACACCCGGGCGTATGCCCCGAATGCCCAGGCGTATGCCCCGAATTGCTGGGCGTATGCCTCTTGAGACTTTCGCCTCACACCATCACCTCAGGGCGTTTTTGGTGCGCCTTGCCCCAGGGCTCGCCCCGAAAATACCTTTAAATACACTGTCTACATCATATTGTATATCGTAATACTATTAGACAATTGTGTTCTTCTTCGATTTTCAGCTGAAAGATTCGATCTCAATCACCTCAAATCAACTTCAAATGTGATCAAATTTCAATATGAACTTCTAGAAGGTACTATAAGCAATATTTAATAACACCCACTTTGAATCAAACAAGAAATCTTCAAAAATAAAAATTGAGCTTTAAGCCAATAATGGTGGATATTCAAACACACATAAAAATTAGATTTGGGAAGCTTACTCGAAGGTACTATGAGCAATATTTTATAACACCCACATCGAATCAAACAATAAATTTTTAAATTCAGGAGTTTCAAGCCCAACAATGGTGGGTCTTCATATACTCAAAAAAATCATAAGGAAAGGAGGTAGAGCAATAGCTTGGGTTGACCCTCTTAATGAAGATCAATCTGGCGCCAGAGAAGAAGTAGATCCATTCAAGTCCACTACCAGGTAAGCTTGCAAAAATGAAACCGAATGTTTTTGACATTCTGTACTTCAAATGAGAAGGAAAATAGCTAATGAGTGGGCGGGGTAAATAGTTTGAGCTGCATAGGTAGGAAAAGTAAATAGTTTAGGCTTGGATATTAAAGGGTAAATAGTTTAGGCTTAATAGGTATAAAGTAAAATTTTCCCTATTATGAAAGAGCACGGGCGAAAAATAATTACATTGGCCATATGCCTTCAAGCCCAAAAAAGAAACTTAAAGCATCTTTAAGAGAAAACTACACAAGCTACCTATTAAAATCAAAGTATTTACCCGTCTTTACTAGTGTTAAACTTATTATAATATATATCTTTCTAACTAAAACTATTTACTAGCCTACCTATCTCAATTTTGTTTGACCACCTGATGGTCACGATCCAATTTCTTCTATGGACCATGATGACACCCAACGTTACCGCTAGGCAAGCATCAGTGAATTAAACATGAGATTTCCCCTTTTAATAAATTTCTAATTAGTTTAAATTCCATTTATTAAGAAAATACAGAGTGGAAAAATTTAATAAGAAAAACAAAGACTAATAAAGAGACAAATGCGGATAATATACTCCAAAACCATAAAGTCTACTAGTGAGTGTACCAAAACCTGGTATCACAAGTGTATGAGCAACTAGTAGAATATACAAAACTCTATCTACTATCTAAATAAAATAGACAGAATATAAATACAATAAGGAGACTCTAGGGGTTGCAGAACGGCTCAGGAAGCAGCCCACCACTAGGCCTCTGGATATTGGGGATGCGCTCCGGTATGATAGTCAGATGCACCTGGCTCAGATCCTACACAATTAGTGCAGGTAAAACTACTAATTGCCACATTAATATTTCATAATAATTAGTTGCTTCAATTAATTTTGAAGCAAAATGTTTTTGGGGAGTAACTGAAGGAGAATATGAATATCATATTTGTTCAATTGAGTGACTGAATCTTTAGAGTACCACTGTCTCACTTCTAATTTACCCGGCTCACTATGTAATTAAAAAATTATTTAATTGTAGGTTTATTATTATTATTATTCAGGGATAAAATAGTAACTCAATATTAGCTCAAATTCATTGGGATAACCCATTTAATTGGCCACAAAGGATGAGTCAACTTTATTAAGCCCAAGATGTTATCTTCCTAAAGGCCCACTTTGGTTCACATGTCAAATGACATGGTAAGGCAAGTCAAACGAAAGAGTCAATAAAGTACGCCACATGCCAAAGTAACATAGCATGCCAGGTCAAATTAAAAGGCCAATAAAATTGTGTCACGTGTACACATGATATATTTTGGTCAATCAAATGCAACCTTGTCACTGCTTCAATCCGATTAGTTAGTGATTCAAGTCAACCAATCAAATCGTAGAACAAGAGTTTGTCCTTATCATAATTCTTTCCTCTCACAACTATGAATAGGGGTCCTCATAACTCAGAAAAGACACCAAAAATCATAGCAAGAAGCATGAGAGAGCTAGTGGATCAAACGCCGCAAATTTCTCTACAAGTTTCAAGTTATCTAGTTCAAGAAACTATGTTCAAGCTCAAGAATGAAGAACAGTGAAAGTTCAAAGAGTATGAGTTCAAATCATTTTTCGTGCTAGTTGAACTCAAAATTATCGTTCGTGGCAACAAAAATAAATTTAAGATCCAGCTCAAATGCTCTTGAATTTATCTTAGAAAAAAAAAAGAATCAGGGGAATCATAGAGATTGTAACACTCAAATTATTTGAAATAGAAAAACTAAAATTATTGAAATATTTTTCAATCTTGATTATTGTCTATAAATTTTGATATGCCCGGTGGGTCAATTCTATCTTTTATCTCATCTTTTCGATCATCAAATTTCAAGAACAGAGAAATGGCTTCAAAGAAAATCAAATTCAGATTGACAACCTTTAAAGCTGCTTAATTCTATGTCACGACCCAAAATCCTAATCAATAGGCAAGCCAACACTAAGTGAACAATAATAAAAACAGATTATTAATCCATTAGCTGTTTCATGATATAAATAATAACATCATAAATACAAAATCAAAGACAGGATCGCGAAGGCCAAACTTTGCCCAGTTGTTACCCCTACTTCACGAACGCGAGGACCTGGTCGCAAACGCGATGCCTCCACTGCTGAGCCTATGCGGACGCGGTCACTCACACGCGAACGTGAAGGCTAAAAGCCTGACGACTCCTCCGGCCTTCCCTTCTATGCGAACGCGACGTCCAGAATGTGAAGGTCACTGCCCCCATGCTCCACGAACGCGACACACACACGCACAACGAACGCATGGAACAAACATAACCTGCCACCAAAACAGACTTCGGGATCGCGATGCCTCCTTAGTCGTGATGGACACCAGAACATTAGAAAATCTGCAACTCTAAACATGAGAGAAACGGTCTAAAACTCATCCGAGACACCCCAGGCTCTCGGGACCCCGTCCAAACACACCAACCAATCCTAAAACATAATATGGACCTACTTGAGGCCTCAAACCACACCAAATAACATCAAAACTACGAATCTCGCGGCAACTCAAGCTTAATGAACTAATCCAAATTTCCGAATTCCAAACTTACGCCGAACATGCTTAAACAACTCGGAATGACCTCAAATTTACACACAAGTCATAACTTGTAACTTAAACTTCTAAACTATGGGTCAAACCTATGATCTTCTAAACCTTCAAACTTCCACCATTCGCCAATTAGAGCCAAATCAATCTAGGAACCTTCGAGTCCAAATCCGGCCATATGCCTAAGTCCAAAATCACCATCTGGACCTAACAGAACCTTTAAAACTCTGATCCAAGGTCAAATACATAAAAGTTAAACTGGTCAACACTTGTAATTTAAGCTTCTAAACTAGGAACTAATGTGTTCCGAATTACTCCGAAATCTTCCCGAAACCAAACCAACCATGCACGCAAGTCGTAATACATCAAATGAAGTTATTCGAGACCTCAAAACACCGAACGAAATGGCAATGTTCGAAACGTCCGGTCGGGTCGTTACACTCCACTTCAGACAATTGCTTATATCCAGAGAAAAGAGAATTAAAAAGTAAACTAATGAAAAGGAGAACAAGTCAGACTCTTGGAGTTTGTAGCAAAGAAAATCATCAGTCAAAACCAGTATGGCCATTTTATCAATGCAATGTTAATTTTAATATCTGGGGGCGCTTAATGTCACTGCTTTTCATTCCAATGAATAAAAAAAAGACATACGAATGTTTACCTGTGAAACTTACTCAACTTAAAAGTTTCAGTTTCTGCTAGTTGGATGAACTCTTCAGTTTTCCCTCCTGTGTCTAGACTTCACAGTTCTTGAAAAAAAAAAAACAAGCCTCACTAATTGGTTCCCCGCCAAAATACAGTAGTTCTCTTGTCCTCTTTTTTAGTTCCCAAATTAATAACTAAAATTAGTGTTCCATTTCATTTCCATGCCAACTGGAAGAATGGTCAAAAAGCTAACAAACAAGCACACTGTGGGTGCCTTGTACTAGTTACAGGCTTACAGCATGTGAAGGAATGTGCATTCCTCTGAATTTTCTTGATTGCTCATCTCATCTCTGTCTAAACTGATAGGAAACATAATTTCATAAGGAAAGAAGATGCAAATGGAAGTTAGTACGTCTTTCATGCTTTTATGCTTATAGTCAATTAGATGGCTCCTAGCTTTTGTCCAATTTTTGTAACTATACTCTTCGATTTACAGTAAGGGGCTAATCTGCCATATTCAAACCACAAGGAGCTAAGTGCCACCTCCCCAAACCCGGGGGGATCTAAATTAAAATTACCTGATAATGCTAATGGAAAATAGTTGCATAATTGAAAAGGCTAGTACCAGATTGGAGCTCATAATATTGCAGTTTGCCAGATTGGAGCTCATAATACTGCAGTTTGCCAGATTGGAGCTCAGAATACTGCAGATTATTTTTTGTTCTCAATAATAATCTGTAATGTTCTTCACCAACAATAACTCAGAAATCACACATATATTACTTAAAAAGAAGCAAAGATCTTTGACAGATCTTTTACACATCCCATGATAAAGAGTAAAAAGGGGTTTATCAGAAGAATTCTCAAATGACTCCTTTTAACCTGTGAAACCATCAGTCAGCACTTGGTGCAGACTGGAGGAATCCCCCGTATGTTGCAGTCACAGGAGGCTTTCTTGCATTTGCTCGTGCAAGCTGCAAAATACAGATTCATTCATCAAACGTCAAAATTTAGAAGCAACAATGACAATGTATGCAAAGCTTTTAACATATATATAATATGGATTGAACTTTTCTGCAAAGAAATTTTGCACTAGTACTAGTGTATTTTAACTCCGTACCTTATTTTTGAGGTTACTAAATCCACTTTATGGGCAGTTACCTCGAATCTCTTTTACGCTGTCAGTACAACAACAACCTAATATAATCTCACAAGCAGGATCTGGGGAAGGTAATGTGTATGCAGACTTTACCCCTACCCTGTGGGGTAGAGAGGCTGTTTCTGAGGTAGAGAGATTGTTTCTAATCTTTTACACTGTCAGTGTATTTTAAATTCCACATAACACAATCACAAAACCAGCGCAACATGAGTTCCTTTGTATAGTTATATTTTATTGTGGAAGATCGTGGGATAACTAGCACACAATCACACACAGTAAATAGAGAAGAAAAGCAAACACAAGAATTTAACGAGGTTCAGCTAAGCTTAATCCTCGGTGCAGAAGCATAGAGAGTTTTCTACTATGAATGAGAATAAAAGCACAATACAATCTATAGAATCACCAACTACAACCCCTATATATAGATCCCAAATGGTCTCAAACTTATTAGAGAAAGGTTTCCCAGTTTGACAAGGACAATAGGTTTTCCTTTCTTAAATCTATTAAGACAATGGGTTTTTTCAAACCTATCGGGATTATGGGTTTCCTAAAAATACAAGAAAATAATGCAAGCCACAAATAACAAATCTTCCCCTTGGCTTGAATTCTCTTCATCAACAGAAACAATGTCTCTCTGCCCTGCTTTTAGCCCTCACAAGGGCTCTACCCATTTCCGCACACCCCAACCAAGTCTAAGAAATGCCTAAACTTGTTAAGAGACTCAATCTGTTCAACCATACCACTAATTCGTTGATTTGGTTCTCTACAAGGAATAGCTTCTGGATAGCTACAACACTCGCACGCATCAATGGTCTCTTACTCTCTGCAACTGCCAAAGCAAATCCCACAGAATTCGTATATCTAAGAAGATTCCCATCAACTACGTTTACAAGCCTTTGCGGTCGGTTTATCACTTTCCTCTCTCTGCTTGTTGCAATGCTATATGGTTGATGTTGCACTGGCGCATTAATATTATCATCTTCAAAATATTTTGGACCTCCTCCACTTCCTCTACTTTAGAACTACTGGGTTGAGCTAGTTTAGATTCAATTTCTAACTCTATACGGTCACTGACACCACGATCTATTTCTGCTATTGCCTTCTCCCTCTGACTGTCCAGTGAGGCAGATTCATTGAATGTTACATCCCTACTATAACCTTTCACTCCAGTTGTATACCCTAGAAATATGCATTTCTTTGCCCTCGGCTCAAGTTTTCCATCCCTCACATGAGCATAAGCAAGACAACCAAATGTCCTTAAATTTGAATATCAGCAGGCGAACCGGACCATACCTTAAAAGGAGTTTTGAACTCAATAGCTGTGGATGGAAATCTGTTGACCAAATAACAAGTTGTGTTGATTGCTTCAGTCCAAAAATTCTTGTTAACACATGAGTGTCAAAGCATGTTTCTTGCCCTATCACAAAGTGTTCTATCCATACGTTCAGCAACACCATTCTGTTGTGGTGATCCGATACAAGTGTGGTGTCTTACTATGCCATCTCTGCTGTAGAAATTATTGAACTCAGAATTAAAAAATTCCAACCCGTTGTTAGTCCGAAGACGCTTAAAAAATACACTCACGCCATCCTTGAGTACATCAATCAAAGTCATAAAATACCTGGCACCACTTTTGGAGGGAACTCTGTTTGGACCCCATAAGTCTGAATGTATATAATCTAACTTGTCTCTGACCGTTGTCTATTTACCAAACACACTATGCTCAAAAAATTTCAAAACTTGATTTTTGTACCCATCCAATGAATTCTGCTTGCTCAACAAAGGCAATCTCTTGTCACTCATATGACCAAGTGGTAAGTGTCACAACTGAGACTAATTCAGATCAACTTTTCTAGAAGCTACAACAACTTCCCTTTCAACTAAACTGGCCTGAATATGATACAATTTAGAATGCAGTTTATCCTTCATGAGTACCTTGGAGCCTTTACACACTTTAAGTATCCCATTCTCGGAGTGAAATTTATACCCTTGATCATCCAAAGTCGAAAGTGTAACGACCCGACTGGAAGTTTTGCTTTCTAGATCCTCGTTCCCCTAAATAAGACTCCTCGTATGTACTTTACTGTTTTATAACTTGCGGGGATGGTTATTCGGGATTTGAAAGGGTTCGAGTTGGAATCGGAACACTTAGTTCTTTAATATTGGCTTTAAAGAGTTAAGTTTGACTTGGGTCAACATTTCTAGTAAACGACCTCGGAACCGGGATTTGACGGTCCCAATAGGTTCGTATGATGATTTTGGGCTTGAGAGTATGTTCGGATCGGGTTTTGGATGACCTGGGAGCGTTTCGGCGCATAAAGTTGAAAGTTGGCGCATTGAAGGTTTTAAAGTTTTTCAAAATTGGTTTGGAGTTATCAAGGTCTGTTTGGGATTCCGAGCCTGGGGATAGTTCCGTATGGTGATTTGTGACTTGCATGCCAAATTTGGTGTCATTCCGAGATGTCTACGTATGATTCGGCGCATTCGGAGCAAGTTGAAAACTTGAAATTCATAATTTGATTCAATTTGGTTTTGGGGTGTAATTCCTAGTTTCGAAGTTGTTTTATGCGTTTCGATAGTTCGAGAAGGTCCTTATTATATTTATGGACTTGCTGGTATGGTTGGACGGGGTCCCGGGGGGCTCGGGTGCGTTCCGGACCGCCCCGAGCTATGTCCCAAAACTGCTGGTGGACCAGTTCTGGTGCATCCGCACCTGCGGCATTTTGACCACAGGTGCGAGCTTTTGACCGCAGAAGCAGCATGGCGTGGGCTGCCCCGGGATCGCAGAAGCGAGGCAGGGACCGCACCTGCGAAAGCATAGGTGCGAAGCAGGGCAAGCGCAGAAGCGGGCTCGCATAAACGAGCCATTGTCCGCAGATGCGGAGGTGGCCAACTGGCGGAGAGCCGCATCTACGATGCATTTTCCGCAGAAGCGGCCAATGTTCCGCAGAAGCGGCCAATGTTCCGCAGAAGCGGAAATCGCTGGGCAGTGAGGTTCATTTAAGACGGGACTTAGGCCACTTTTGGTTCATTTATTTCACTTCTTGGGCGATTTGGAGCTTCTTAAATAGGGGTTTTCACCTAGATATTGAAGGTAAGTAATCTCTATCCAATGTAAGTTAAATACATAGATTATGAGTATATTTTAACATGTAAAATTGTGAAAATTATGGGTTTAGTTGAAAAACCTAAGTTTTGATAAAAATGGAATTTAACCACGAAAAAAATTATGGAATTGGGTGAAAACTATATATTTGAGTTCGTGAGGTTATGGGTAACACTTATCTTCGAAAATTTCTGGAATCCGGGCACGTAGGCCCAGGGGTGAATTTTAGGAATCTTCCAATTAGGGGTGAATAATTGCCCTAATAGTTAAATTATGAACTTTTGAGTATATATTGACTTATTTAAATAATATTTGGCTAGTTTCATGTTGTTTGACACCGACTTGAGGATTTAAAGCGTATTTGTGGACCGGAAGTGAGCTAGAGAACGAGGTAATTCCATAATTCCAAGCTATATCATTTTGTTTATTACTATCGGATGACGCCATTTCAATGTTATTTTATAGAAAAAAATTATCAAGTCAATATGCAATTAATTCTACTCTATAAGACTATAATTGAAAAAACAAAGCAACAAATCAGAGCAAACAAAAAAAGGGCTACTGCCTCTGGCCCTCTGCTCTGCCTTTGGTCGAATCTCGAAAAACAGAACCGAAAAAAAAATAAAGCTCTGGTCAAGAAACAAAGCAACGAAAGAAAGAAGAAAAACAAAGCAAAGAAAGAAGAAGAAAAATAGATAAAGAAAGAAGAAATGAAGAAGAAAAACAGAGCAAAAAAAAGACAAGAAGAAAAAAGAGCTTATCACTGAAGAAAGAAGAAAGAAGAAGAAAAAAGAAGACAGCAACGGTGAAGATGTGAAGTCGACCAGAGCTGAAATAGAAGGAGAAGAAAGGAGAAGAACAAATGAGAAGAAGAAGAAGAAAAGAAAAGAAAGTAACATACCTGCTGATGGCTGATGATGGAAGAAGAAAATGAAGCCCAAGCCCTAATTTTGTCTCTGAAGGAGAAGAAGTGGTCGCTGCTCATCGCTGAAGGAGAAAAGTGAAACCCAAGCCCTAATTGTGTGTTTTATATAACTCGCTGCCTTTTCTTCCGTTATTTTTAAATAGCGACGCCTCGCAACGCCTCTTGCTACACAGGCAGAGGTGCTCGCTTTTCTGATTTGCAACGTAACAGACCATAAAAGGCGCAGCTGCCTAGCCTCACGCCGCTACACGCTATTAGCGACGTAGCGCTCACTATTTACAACACTGGCCTAATCTTGTAAGAGGAAACTCCTCCTCTTAGGTGTATTGTTGTTGTGAATTACTTGTGTGGGGAGCTACGTACGCACTAGGTAACGAGAGTTCGTGCGTAGCTATATTTCATGAGTTGTCCGAGTAGTCTTAGCTTTACATCGTGCTTTGATTGTACTGTTATGTTTATTATGCATATTAACTGTCCTAAATAAAGCTGAGATTAGGGATTGTACGGTTGAAATTTGTCAATTTAGATTTCTTACTTTTGGGAAGGATTGAGAAATATATAATTCTGAGAAATCCATGTTCACTCGCGTCGCAAGTACTTCCGCGAGCGAGGTAAACTTCTCTACTCTCATGGGAGTGGGCTGTTTGCCTCGGTAGCTTAATAGATGCATCTATGATTCGTGCCGATTCGACCCTCGACAGTGCACACAGTATATATTTTGGATCGGGCCGTACGACCTCGGCATAAATCGTGCGTGATAATACTCGGAGCCTAATTATAGTTGACATTATCTTATGGCTTGAGAGGTTATAATTTATTTAATGACAGAAAAATGAATTGGGATTAATAGGTGTTGGCTAGAGAAACTATTGGAATTTATTATCATTTAAGGAACCATTTATTCACTGCGTGTTATTGTGTTATTATCCTTATTATTTCCATGTTTCATACCTTTTTTTTTGGCAATCCACTAGGCAAGTGCAAAGGCCAATTTTTATAAATAATTAAAAGAAAACAAACATACTAGTTTAGCATGTTTCATACCTGTTTATAATTCGTGCATTTTATTATTGGCCCATAGTAAGTGTCGATGTCGACCTCTCGTCACTACTTTTTCGAGGTTAGACCGGATACTTATTGGGTACATGTTGTTTATGTACTCACGCTACACTTCTGCACTAACCGTGCAGGATCTGAGGCAGGTGCATCTGGTAGTCATCCCGGCGCACACTCCTGATACTCCGAGACTTAGTGGTGAGCTACCTTCCGAGTTCGTTCTGCAGCACTCGAAGTCTCTCTTTTGTATTTACTTTCTGTCTACTTTATTTCAGACAGTAGTTTAGTGTTTTGTATATTCTACTAGTAGTTCATACACTTGTGACACCAGGTCTCGGAATTATGCTAATAGACACTTGATGATTTTGAGTATTTATTTCACCACACTTGTTCTTATAATTTTTACACTTTATTTCATTAGATTTCTCACATCTTACTTATTTAAGAATTAAAAATTAACTATTTCTAAAATGTTAAAAAGAATGGATACATGGTTAGTTCACCGTTGGCTTGCCTAGCGGCGACGTTGGGCGCCATCACGACCTATAGGGTAAATGGGTTGTGACAGAAAGGGAAATCAAATTTCTCTTTATCCAAGGAACATGTCAACACTCTATGTTTCTGATAATTCCATCGAACATTCTCAATCTGATGTTATCAATCCCCTCTACTAGTAATGGATTATCATCTCCCATGTAGACAATCACACTCATCTGGTTGTAAGCTGCAAACCAATTTTTGTGTGGACACATGCGAAAAGTAGCACCAGAATCAAGAACCCAGGAATTCTGCCCATGACTAGAACTCACCGCACATACTTCCCCAACATAGTCACTATCATCAGAATTATTGCCAGTGTCAACAATATTTATTGAGTTATCTATTTTCTGCTTCCCTCTTTTCTCTTTCAGTTGGGGACAATTCTTTTGTAGTGACCTCGCTCCCCGCACTCATAACAGTTATGCTTCTTTGCTCTAGACTTCGATTTAGCGGTTGACTTTTTCCTGTTAAAGTCCTTTTGTTATGTTCTTCATTTACTCACAAGACCCTCTCAATAGGGGTGGGCATAATACCGGCCAAATCGAAAAACCAGCCAAACCGTAAATTTCGATTTTCTGGTGTCGATTTAATTAGTTATTTGGTCGGTGTGAGATTTATAAATTATTAAATTTCGGTATTCTGTGCGGTTAACGATTTTGGTGTTTCGGTTTTCGGTTAAACCGAAAAACCGAAGTTTGCAGCATGCAATACAGCCAAAGGGATAGTTATTAGTTAGGCATTGGTTTGTCGGGGGGAATTCTTCATTCTTTGCCTCCCCATTTTTGTGACTCTATTTTCTGCTGCTTTTACGTGCAATTGTACTACACAAAAATTTTGTCAATACATCATCACTTCACTGAACCTAAACTCTAATTACCACAATTGTAGATTGTAAAGATCCATAGTCTACATCGGATATAATGTACCCAATGTTAGTCGATGCCTGCTGAGGCATAGAGTATGCAAGATTTCCAATGTTACAATGTAACAGAAAAGCGAGCAGTCTATGAGTCAACACATAAAAATCTTGCATCGTTAATAACCGGAAATAACCGAACTGAACCTTGGAAAAACCGCACCGAACCGTAAATACTTTGGTATGGTTTGGTTATTAATATTACAAAACCGAAAATCGATAAACCGAACCGTACTTTCATACTAACCGACCGAACCGATCGACGCCCACCCCTACCTCTCAATTCTGCTGTCTGGAAAGCTTTTTTTTAACTCTTTAGATTTTAGTGCATTACTAACATCTTCCAGAGAAATGTTGTCTTTCCCATATAGCAGCGTATCGGCAAAAAGAATCATAAGACGGTGGTAAAGAACATAACACAATTAGGGCATAATCCTCACTCTTAATTTTGATATCCACGTTCTTCAAGTCTATTATAATTGAATTAAACTCATCAAGGTGAGTTTTAATAGGTGTACCTTCGTTCATACGGAGATTGTATAACCTCTTTTCATGTAGAGCCGGTTTGTCAATGATTTCTTAGAATAGAGATCTTCCAACTTCTTCCAAGTCGTTGCCGCAGAAGTTTCTTCAACAATTTCCCGAAGAATGCTATCTGTAACACTCATGATGATCGCACTCAAAGCCCTCTCCTTTAGGTCTGCCTTCTCTGTCTCTTTCATCTCTTTAGGAAAATCCTCATCAATTGTCTTCCATAACCCTTGTAACATCAGGGACGATTTCATCCTAATCTTGACTGAAACTAGAACTCCCGTCAAATTTCTCTATTTCATATTTTGTTGAAGATGATGAAGACATCTTAACTCTAGATTATATGTAGAAATCCAAACCTTGCTCTGATACCAATTGTTGTAGAAGATCGTGTGTTAACTAGAACACAATCACACACAAAGCAAATAGAGAAGAAAAAATTAACATAAGGATTTAACGAGGTTCGCCTAAGCCTAATCCTCGAGCCAGAAGTAGAGAGAGTTTTTCACTATGAATGAAAAGAAAAGCACAATACAATCTATAGAATCCCTAACTACAACCCATATATATAGATCACAAATAGTCTCAAACCTATTAGAGAAAGGTTTCCCAATTTGACAAGGACAATAGGTTTTCCTTCCCAAATCTGTTAGGACAATGGGTTTTCCATATAGATTATGGGTATCCTAAAAATGCAAAGAAATAATTCATGTCACAAATAACATATTTGTCATGAGAAAAGGCGGATAAAAACACATGTTATTTGACGGCTAATAGTAAAACATCTGCTGGCTGCAAAGTTAAAAGAGAATGGGAGAAATGTAGACAGTTAGTAGTACGGTGAACAATAACATCTAGTGCTCGTCCATGTTGCAGACGGCTGACAATAAGCAGTTGTTGGCCATTTGCTCCAGCTCCACACGAGTTATGGAGGCTAACAGAACAAGAACCAAGGCGATTGTGAGAAACTTTATCATGGTTTCACAAATCTAAAGAAGCAAAACCAGGAACTTGCAGCTTATAGTGTTGGAGATGTTCTGTTTTAATATGACCAGACAGTTCTATACATAAAAAATGCTGGTGCTTGCAAAACTAGCAGAAGAAAGCACCCAAGTCAAGTTAGTAAATGCAGCAAACCGAGCAAGTATGACCAAATAAAATTTCCTTAATTATACATCATCTTTCTTTTCTTGGATGGAATTCATACCAGGAATTAAAGTTTTAACGAATTAAGCAATTCTTTAATCATATTAACATGGTAATAATAATAACAACAACAACAACCCAGTAAAATCCCATAAGAAACATGGTAATAAGATCAATTAAAACATATACTAATAGCATTTCCACTTTAGACAATTGCTAATATCCAAAAACACAGTGGGAAAAAAGGTAAATTCATGAAAAAGGGAACAAGACAGACTTTTGGAATTTTAGCCAAGAAAATCATTGATCAGAACCATATATGGTTGTTTAATCAATGCAATGTTAATTTTCATACCAATTCTGAGTTGAGCTTTCAAGGGTTTAATCAAAATCTACAGATAGCCTTCATAATCCTTTTTTAGATATTGCTTAAAGATGAAGCGGAAGTGCAAACAAGAGAGAGAGAGAGAGAGCTAATGTTCTAAAACTCAAAAGATATCGTGGTACTGTAGTGCAAAAGAAATTACCAATCTATTTTGACGAATTTGATGTGTAGCGCCATATGATGCCTCCTACTAGGTTATTTACGGCATGAGCAGCCATTGGCACAAGAAGAGTTGATGATAAAATTGTAGCATAACCATACGCAATTCCAACAAATGTGGCCCTGAAATTAGAATAGCTGTAAAATTCAGTCTCACCACCCTTCTTCAGCATCATAATTCAAGCAATGGATATAAACTTGGTCTTGAGCCTTACGTCTTTCTTTATAAGACTCTAGTAAATGGACAAGAAAAGGACAACAAGTTATTGTCACTTGTTTTAAAATGAAATTCTACGTTCCGGGCCATTAAAAACCTCTTTTAACATCACCTCGATTTGCGTGCGCAGTCCGGGCGCACAGCCGGAAAGCCTATATGTGAAAATCTGTGAAAAATGATAAATTTTGACTATAAAATGAGTTAATTTGACTTCGGTCAACGTTTTGAGTAAACGGACCCGGACCCGTGAATTGACGGTCCCGGAGGGTCCGTAGGAAAATATGGGACTTGGGCGTATGCCCGGAATCGAATTCCGAGGTCCAAGTCCGAGAAATGAATTTTTGAAGAATTGTTTTCTGAAATTGTTTATAAAGTTTGGAAATGAATTTTGATAAGAACATGTTGGTATCGGGCCCGTATTTTGGTTCTGGCGCCCGGTACAAGTCTTATATATGATTTAAGATGATTCTGTGAAGTTTGGTAAGAAATGGAATCCGTTTGACGTGATTCGGACCTTAATTGCAAAATTTGATGTTTAAGAAGTTTTGATAAATTTCATTGATATTGAGGTTTAATTTGATGTTTCTGATGTTATTTTGGTGATATGAGTACACGAATAAGTTCGTGGGATGTTTTTGAGGTTGTGTGTATATATGGTTTGGAGCCCCGAGGGCTCGGGTGAGTTTTGGATAGGCCACGGGGAGCATTTGGAACTTAGAAAAATTGCAGAATTTTAGCTGGTGTGCCCAAGCCTGCAGGCTTCGCATAATGCGAAGGCTGGATCGCAAATGCGAAACCAGCCCAGGCCTACCTTGGCTCGCAAATGCGAAGATTTGCCAATGGGCCAGTGATCGCAAATGCGACCTATGTATCGCAAATGCGACACTATTTTCGCAAATGCGAAAGTTCAGCATTTCTGAAGGGTTCGCAAATACGAACCCTGTTTCGCAATTCCCAAGTTAGCAGAGGTCGGGGTTTGCGAACCCCTGTTCGCATTTCCCATACATGCGACCTACAACTTTTATACTTAACCGATTTTAAACCCATTTTTCATATCCTCTCAAAACATAAACACCCTAGGACGATTTTTCAAAGGCTTCTGCTTCTCCAAATCAATTGTAAGTCGTTTTTAACTAGTTTTCTTCGATCATTAACATCTTTTAACATGATTTCAACTAAAAATCAATGATTTTCATGAGGGAAATTGGGTGTTTTGGGTAGAACCTGGGTTTTTTAAAAATTGGGAATTTGGACCTTGATTTGAGATCCGATTTCAAGACAAATCATATATTTGGGTTCGTGGGGGAATAAGTAATCGGGTTCTGGTTCGAACTTCGGGTTTTGACCATGTGGGCCCGGGGGCGATTTTTGACATTTTGGGTAAAACTTTAGAAAACTCATTTTCATGCATTGGGATTGATTCATTTAGCATTTATTGATGTAATTAAGTAACTTGTGACTAGATACGAGCGAATTGGTGGCGGAATCAAGGGGTAAAGCTATAGTTGAATCGTGAATTGTGTTCGTGGCATCGAGGTAAGTAGCTTGTCTAACCTTGTGTGGGGGACCTTCCCCTTAGGATATGATATATTTGATAATTGAAATGCCTTGTACATAAGGTGACGAGCGTGTACTTGAGCTAATTGTTGAAAATCCGTTTTTTTTTCCTTAAGTATTTCAATTGAGTTCTTTTTCCTGTTTTATTCTACTTGTGAATTTAGTCTGTTGCTAGTTTAGAAAAGCATGTTTAGTTGACTTAATTGACTATTTGTTTAAACTGCCTTAATTGCATTATGTGAAGCATGTTAGGCTAGTATTAACTGTTTACTTGGTACGAAATTTAGCTTAATTGAGTATTCTGGTGTTGCTGCTGTGTGTTTTTACTTTGGGACTACGAGACGGCATCCCGGGAGATCCCTTGTATGTATTTATGATCTGAATTGAGGTGCAGGATACCAAGAGATCCCTGGCACGTACATTGAGGATACCAAGAGATCCTCGGGATACCGAGAGATCCCTAGCATATATTGAGGATACCAAGAGATCCTCGGGATACCAAGAGATCCCCGGTTATCATCCTTGTTATGAGTGGTACTTCCTTGTGGTTTGCCTTCATCTCTGTTTCCGTTATTGTACTCTTATTATCTTGTATAGATTCTTACTGTAGATTCTCAATTCCACTGCTTATCTTATCCTGTCATCTTTATATTTTATTTAACCTCAGTAGGGCCCTGACCTTCCTCGTCACTACCCAACCGAGGTTAGGCTGGTAATTACTGAGTACCGTTGTGGTGTACTCATGCCTCTTCTGCGCATGTTTTTCATGTGCAGATCCAGGTACTTCTACTCAGGCCTACCATCCTTGAGGGAGGCGACTACTTAGAGACTTCGAGGTACATCTGTCGCGTCTACAGACCGAGTCCCTTTCTATTCCTGCCTTTTTGTATTTAGCCCTTCTGTACTTTCTGTTCTGATTAGACAAATTCCGGAGTTAGAGTTATGTAGTATTTCCTTTTCTTAGCTTGTGATTCGTGGGTTTCCGGGTCTTGAATTTAGATATTGGTTTTGAGATCTATATAAATATGGTGTATGCCGAGCGGCACATTTAACACTATTATTGCCTTATTTCTGTTTTTAAATTGTTTTACTTCCGCAAGTTTGGTTATCTTCCGCAAGTTTAGGCTTACATAGTCGTAGAGACTAGGTGCCGTCACGATGGTTCACGGAGGGCGAACCGGGGTCGTGACAGTTATATTGTGAAATATCATGTCATGAGCACAAGGACACCTCATGATAGAAAAGGGAAAAAGAAACTATAGACTTGTATCTGGAAATTTGCTTAGATATGATTATCTACGGAAAATACCGCAGTTGGAGCATAAGTTTTAAAAAAATACCAGACAGCAAAGGAGTATTTTCGACCACTGCCCAAGTGTAATATCCCAAATATGGAAGCAACTGCCACGACACTCTGCCAATTGATGCCAAAAAGTGGTAGCAGTGCACCACGGAAAAGAAGCTCCTGTGTCATTGAGATACCCATACAAGCTTGTAATCAGTTCTGAAATTTCAAGATGAAGAACTCATTTAGCAGTTTAAAGAAGTAACGTAATTGAGAAGTACAACGAAAGACTTTCTATGCATACCTCACTAATGCCTGGAAGGAGTGATACCACTATGTAATCCAATGGTTCAAGTGAACTTAAGACCTGAAATGGAATTTATTTTTCTTCAGAATAGCAAGAAAGCTAAGTTTAACAGAATATAGCACAAGTTTGCATTTATGCTAAGGGCAGCAGAAAGTCAAGATTAAATAAAGTTGATCAGAAACTGTTGGATTTGCATGTATTGAAAACCCCCCACCCCACCCCACAGAAAAAAAAAATCACACATTATATTTTCAAAGAGAGTAGGCAATAAGACAAAAGCTCGAATTAATTTGTGCGAGAATATGTACCTGGCTATTTGCTGCTTCACTAGACTCGGCAAAATCCGGCCAAATCTTCAGCAGTAAGTACCGACAAGAGGATACCAGTATTACCAATCCAGTAATCAACTCAACATGCCACATCTGGAAAGTCACTGTAGAGAGAGCTATCATCATTGAAAATTATATAAACTGGAACTGATGAGACCCATCAGTTAAGACGTTGCGACACTTCAGCATTAAAAAGAGAGAAGTTCCTATGACAGGGCCATGGTGTCCTCTCAACTTACAGTACACTCGTGATAAATTAAAAAGATCGGCGTGTTAATCAGGGGGAAATTATAGATCCCAAGTTTCTAAATGTACTCAAGGAAAAACTAGTACAAAGCACAATTACTTTGCAGTCGTTGATGTAAGATAAAACCTTAAATAAACCATCCTGAGTTAGTCAAAGCTTAAGAAGGCATCCTTAGTAGATACAAACAAGAGAAAATATAAGGTGAAACATCACACATCGAAGATCATTATAAATGAGAGAAAATTATCATGAAGCTAGTTGGTAGCTGGAGAATAGCACAAGGTCAATGAGCTTGGGAAAAACTATTGCGCTGCATAGGGTTATTTCAACACCTTAGCTACGGACACAAAATTCACAGACAAATTAATGCCATTGATATTATTTTCAGACCAATTTCTTCTTTACCAAATTCTTGAGAGGTTTATCAATATAACAAGTACTTTCAATAAGGTGTCGGAAATCTCACAAACTACTGCAGAGAGAAGAAAGCTTCTCAGACTTACATGGTATTTTGACAGAACAGTCAACAATTGGCAACCCACCTCCTGATGCAACATGAGAAACCTGCAATTCAACCAATTCAGAATAAGGTACTTTCCTTTCATGGATTTCAAAAATCTAAGTGTCACTAACACCAAATAGTAAAAGAAATTATCAATCTAAGCATAATGCTTAGTAGTCTTCACAATACGAATGAAACTTAGATGATAGAATCAAACACAACTTTGCTAGTACTAACAATTCAATTTCTTATCACATGAAGTGTAAGCATAGCACTCTGCTTGTGCATACAAAAAGCAGTAACATATTGTTTTCAAAATATGAACACATACAGTAAGTAACATCCTTGAGCTGAGAGAAAAAGTGTACCTCTCGAATTACGACACCTAGAAGACCAATAAATCCAGAAGTGATTATGCATGCCTGAAGCACAGAACCTCTAGATGGGATCATCGGCACAGAAGTCCCAGCCTCTGAAGTGTCAAGAAGGGATATGTTCTTCTTGCTATCTTCAACATAATCTGGATTAACATCATCACTTAACAGATACTTATCGGGTACTGCAGTATCAGTTTTCTCTGTTTTCCCTTTTTTTCTTGATTTCTTAACAGACCTCTGACTTGCAAATGCCCTTACATTGGTTTTAAATCTCTGTATTATGAGTAAGCATAGTCAGTAGTCCAAGATATACATGAGTTCAAGGGATTATTTCACCTATGGTTACTGAACATCACCCACTACAATAGTAAAAAAAATCACAAAACTACTTTTTGTCATATTAAAGTAACAGAAATTTTTCCAATATTAAAAGTAAAGGCATAAAACTATTTTTTGTCACAAAAGTAAACTGAATGTTACCACCATAACAGTAAAATCACCTTAATGGGTAGACTTGGTCATTAGAGTGGGTAAAGTTATTGACTTCAATACTTTTGTGCCTTTATAGTTATAGTGGATAAAGTTCACTAACCATACAACAACAACAGCAACATAGCCCGAGTATTATCCCACATTGTGGGGTCTGGGGAGGGTAGTGTGTACGCATACCTTATCCCTACCTCCTGTGAGGATAGAGAGGCTGTTTCCAATAGACCCTCGGCAAAGTTCACTAACCATACCTAAATAGAAATTGACCTGAATTTAAGTGAACATAAAATACATATTTTAAGAACTCACACAGCATAATACAGGGGGCACGGGCCTGAGTGAACTGTTCGAATCACCAAACTTCCTACCAGATAGAATTTCAGCTGTATTTATAAGAGTAAAGCACAATTAAAAACAGATAAAAGATTGTCCTTTTACATAAACGCATAAAGAAATTGCTTAGCATCTTTTGGTTTTCTTCCAAGATTCTTGTTTCTTACTAATGGACATGGATTTCACCATATTCCAAGAAATGGACAGAGGAAAACTTACATGCAGTGGCAATAGTCCAACAGTAGTTTATAGTAAGTGAACCCATTGATGATTGCTTGAAAGCTGAATTATAGAATTCTAACAAGATTTTTCCCTCACTTACTTGAAGGTTTTTTTCTGTTTTACATTTTATCAGTAGAAGATGAAAGAGGAAGAAAGGAGAATGGTTAAATGTAGACCAACAATTTTTTTTATTTATAGAAAATACTGTAATTCCCAAACTCCTTTTTGCCGATGACACTTGATAAAAATTTGTGCAGGTAGACTATGTATTACAGTTGTAGGCTAGGAGCTAGTTGACTCTTGCGTTACTTTGTTCCATTGTGAGCCTAGTCTGGTAAGGTTTTAATTGAAAATTAGTAGGGGCATTGTCGTGTCTTAATATTTTTTCTTTTCGGTGCTAGATCTATTTACTAGCCATCATTTCTGTCTTGTATTTTTCTTATGCATTTTAGGTTCCTATTTTTCCTATGATCTCTACGGTGAAACTAATATTCTCCCCTTTTGTTTTTCTTGTTTTTCTTATTATCTTGAGCCGAGGATCTTTCGGAAACAGTCTCTACCCATTTGGGATAGGGATAAGGTCTGCGTACATACTACCCTCCTCATACCTCACTTATGGGATTTTTCTTCAACCGTTGAAGAAAGGGGCTAAACAAAAATTGGTCCAAATTGTGTGGTCCAAATTCTTCGCGAGCCGAAACCGTCGCCCTATGACATATACACTCATATCTCTCTGTAAAAGCATTTGCATATAACACTACCTCTCTGTAATAGCTAAAAAATTTCGAACTAATTTTTTGTATTATATTTTACTTCTCTATAACAGCCGTTTACCTATAACAATAATAACCAACTTTATAATAATATGCTCTATGTGAAAATTTTGTGTTCTTTTTTTATAATATAATAATTAACCATCTTTAAAAATAGAATATTTCATTCGTCTCAAATTATCTATCATATTTTTTTTTACACAACCCTTAAGAAACATTAATTAGAAGGAGATTTTGACTATTTTACTCTTATTTATGTCTTAAGATATAATATATTTTCATTGAATATTGATTCTATCTATGTGCTATCCCATCTTCAAAAATAATTATTATTAAGGGTAAAATGAGAAAAAAATGATTAATTTTGTCTTGAACTTCTAAAATGATAAATAATTTTGAGATAACTATTTTTAGAAATCACGACAGATAATTTGAGACGGATGAAGAATCTATGATTACTAATAATAAATGTAGAGATCTTGACCAAATATTTAATTGATACTTTAATATACTATAATTATGACAAAATATTACATATGAATACATATGGCAATCTAAAAATATCATTGTCTTCTATTTTTATTTATATATAATTTTCACAAAGAAAATAATGTGAATAAGGAGTACGAATTCCATTCTTTAGAGTAAGCAAAAAGATTCCTTCTAATCTTTTTTAAACTAAGCTACAATTATAAATTTTCTTCATCAATCTTGAAAGAATGAATTTAATTTTCAAGTATATTTAAAATATGTACCTTAGAGCTTAAAACTTTACACATTCATTTATGCATTTATTGAAATTGTATTAACTTTCTTTTATATTTAGTTAGTGAAGTATGCATATCTCTGAGATTTAAAATTTAAATAATTTTGTTATTTTTATAACATCAAAAAATAAAAAAAATAAAAATAGATTATATGCCTCTTTTTTGCTCATGACAACCGACTATTATTTAAAGGTCAAATGTCATTATAGGTGTATAACAATCATTCTTTATAACAGCCAAAAAAAAATCAGACCCAATGATATTATTATATAGAGGTTTGACATTGACGGCACCCATTTACTATAAACTTATTCATTAACTGTCACGACCCTAAAATCGATCCGGTCGTGATGGCGTCTATCGTGAAACTAGGTCAGCCGACACCACTCCTGAATTAACCATTAATCAATTTAAGCCTTTAATTAATCAAATGTCTCATAATGTAAGTCTAAATGAACAGTGCAGAAATAATATACAAGCTCGACATCGGGGTGTCACAAGTCACGAGCATCTACTAAGGTCTGACTACAACAAGAGTCTAAAAATATACTAAATACAGTCTAAGGAAGACAAGGAGGAGAAAAGTAGTGTTGCGAATGTCAGGCAGCTACCTTGCTAACTCCGATGACTTTGTCACTAAGCAATCAACACCCACTACTGGGTTCAGAAATACTTGAATCTGCACAAAAGGTGCAGGGAGTAATGTAAGTATAACAACTCAGTAAGTAATAAAGGTAAATGAAAGCTGAGCAGTAAGAAAACACGTAAACCACGTCAAAATGCTACAATAAAAGCAGGACATTTCCAGCACAGTACAAAAATCATTTACTTCAAAAATCATGCTCAGTTTCGGTGAAAACCTTTTAAAACAACTTTCAATAGTTTCAAACGAGTGATAAGACAATGAGTAAAACTGATAGAAAACGTAAACAGCCCCTCGGGAAAAACATGTATCACATACCGCCCCCTCGGGTAAATCATCAACAAAACCAGCCCCTCGGGCTACCTCACAATCACTTGTAATCAGCCCTTCGAGCACAACATGAATCAAGAACTGCCCCTCGGGACATAATATGAATCAAACAATAGCCCTTCGAGCTACATCACATCACTCACACTGGGTACCCGAGCTCACTGGGGGTGTACAGACTTCGGGAGGGGGCCCTTACGGCCCAAGCGCAATAACAAGTCATCTCGTGGCATAATCAATATATCACTTACTCAGGGTACCTGCGCTCACTAGGGTGTACAGACTCCGGAAGGGGCCCCTTACGGCCCAAGCGCAATAACAAGCCATCTCGTGGATCTCGTGGCATAGCCAAACAGGCTCTCGGCCTCATATCAAGCCACCTTGTGGCGTACAACTCAGGCCTTCGGCCTCAAAATCATGAATCAACACAATACCGATGCGGCGCGCAAACCAATCCCATAATAACCTCACAACACAGGCCCTCGACCCTACTCAGTCAGAAATCTCTAAAAGCCACTCGGGCACAGTAAAATATGATGCTTAGCTCAAAATATTATTTAAGATATTAAAATAGAGTAAACATGGCTGAGTTATGAAAACAATAGAATATAGTATGACTGAGTATAAATAATAAGTTAAAACAGTGAGTAATAGTAGTAAAAATCCCCTAAAGGTCCAAAACAGTTGACACAAGGCCCAAATATGGCATTCAGCCCAAAACATGATGATAGCAAATAGTTTTCAATCAAATACGCAGTAAAATAGTCATTTGGGACGGACTAAGTCACAATCCCCAACAGTGCACTACCCCACGCTCGTCATCTAAAGTGTGTGTCACCTCAAAATAGCACAACGATGTAAAATCTGGGGTTTCATACCCTCAGGACAAACATTTACAATCATTACTTACCTCAATCCGGTCTAGACTCTAGCCCGCGATGCCTTTGCCTCTTGACTCGGCCTCCAAATGCTCCAAATCTAGCAAAAGCAGATTCATACCATCAAAATATACTAAGGGAACAAAGCCCACTCGAAAATATCCAATTTACACCAAAAATTCTGAAATTGCTCAAACTTGGCCCATGGGCCCACGTCTCGGAATCTAGTAAAAATTATATCAATAGAATCCCCATCCCCTCACGAGTCTACCCATATCGAATTCATCAAAATCCGACCTCAATTTCCCATTCAAATCCCCAAAAGAATTCTCAAACTTTTCTTCTAATTTTTCCCAGTTCCCACTCTAATTTCTCAAATTAAATGATGAAATTCAAACTAAATCATGGAATTAAACCAAATATGAGTGAAGGATACTTACCTCAATTGCTCCACTGAAAATCTCCTCAAATTTTACCTTCTCCCGAGCTCTCTAATGGTTTTTGTGATATTGGACTTAAACCCTCGATTTTGAACTTAAACATTCTGCCCAGATATTTTCTTCATCGTGAACGCGGCAGCACCCTCGCGTTCGCGAAGCACAAACCTTCACTGACCAAAATTCCTTCTACGCGAACGTGATGCACAACTGACACACCTCTTCGCGAACGTGACCTCTACCACGCGAACGCGTAGAACAAATGCCTTGGGGTCCCATCTATTCCACTTCCTCTATGCGAACGCGGCAAAACCCTCGTGAACGCGAAGACCACTGACCTCAACCCTTTGCGAACACGGGACCACCTTCGTGAACGCGAAGGCCAACTCCACTGCCTCACATCCTAACCCTTTGCGAACGCGGGACATCCATCGCGAACGCGAAGGTAAAAAACCTGCAACATCAATAGTAGTTTTTCTACAACTTTTTCCAACATGAAATGATCCATTTAACCACCCGAAACTCACCCGAGGCCCTCGGGACCTCAACCAATCATGCCAACATATCCCATAACATCATTCAAACTTGTTCCAACCTTCAGAACGCTCAAAACAACATTAAAACACCAAATTTGCATCGGATTCAAGCCAAAGAATTCCAAAAACTTCCAAATCTGCTTTCGATCAAAAAGTCTATCAAACCTTGTCCGAATGACACAAATTTTGCACACACATCACAAATGACACAACGGACCTACTCCAACTTCCGGAATTCCATTCTGACTCTTATATCAAAATCTCACCTATCAACCAAAAAACGCCAAAATCCCAATTTTGCCAATTCAAGCCTAAACCTTCTACGATCCTCCAAAATACATTCCGATCACGCTCTTAATTCCTAAATCACCTAACGGAGCTAACCAAATAATAAAAATTCCAATCCGAGATTATATACTAACAAGTCAAAACTTTCAAATTTTAAGCTTCGAATTGAGAACTGTTCTTCCAAATTCATTCCGATTACCCTGAAAACCAAAATCGACGATCTACTTAAGTCATAATACACCACACGGGGCTAGTCATGCCCGAGAACTAGCGAGCAAAGTGCAAAAGCTCAAAAAGACCGGTTGGTCGTTACATCCTCCCCCGCTTAAACATACGTTCGTCCTAGAACGTGCCCAGAATTGTTCTGAAAACCATCAAATCAATGTATAACCTTACCATGCACATACCCGGGGCTGATCCCATGTCACCATATCTCATATAGGTCTGATAACACAATGCAACTAAAATTCCACAATCCATCCTAGCCCATAAACCTTGGAACCAATTTTCCACTTCTGAAATCATCTTTAAGATCAGAATCCCCCATCTATACA